GTGGCCACAGACTGTTCACATTCATCCTCTATGATAGGAGTATTTGACAATTAGCCATATTCTTTTTAAAATGTTGTTTTCCTCTCCCCTTCCTTAGCTCTGTCTAACCGTGTTTTTCCTCATCCTCCTGTAACATCAGATTGTAGGAGTGTCTCTCCAAGTCTCTAAGAATTCCCAGGAGTTACATTGCCTCATGCCTTCTCCTGACACTGTACTCCTGTGATCTGCCTCTCACCTACAGGCCTGTCTCATTTTGACTGAATTTGATACCATCTCATCTCTTCAGTATATCTTCAGATATTTTCAGTGTCACTCTGAGCATGCCCTGTCTCAATCTGTTCCTGAAGCATCAACTGTGGCAAGCCTGTTGGAGTAAAGCTCCAGGACTCTAGATCCTGTGTGATCTGCAGTGGTGGTTTTTAGCATTATATATGTATGTATGATTCAAAACCAGATCTTTATGTAACTTGAACAGGGTTTGGTTTTTTTTTACCCAGAAGCCTCCAATTAAATATTTTTTATGGAAATGTGAATTTGTTTTAATCATTTTGTTTTAAGAGTTCAAGAGATCCTGTTTTCCCAGAAGTGGTGTTGAGAAAGTGAAGTGTAAGCATGAGATGTTTGTTTCAAAAGTTTAGCAAGCTTGTAGTAAAACGTGCCAAGTGTGTATAGCTCCCAGATGGTCAGCAGCATGTCTGAAGAGAGCAGTTGTAATACTTTAGGGGAGCTATGGGTTTTCATATGCTGTTAAATAAAAATTGGCAAGATCCATCAAATCTTCTACACTGAAGCCATCCCAGATGTATCTAGTTCTCAATAATTTATTCCTTTTTATGGCATTGCAATAAAGAAGAGAAAATGATAATTAAGTTCTGGCTATAATTTTTTGTAGAGGGGTGTGCTGTTTTACTGAAATCACTGTGGGTAGATAAAATTAAGTATACTGTATCTTTACACTCACATAAATAGTAATTAAATACTTCAAAATATGATAGTCTTTTCTTAAAAATGCTTTATATTACTGGAGTTGCTAGACGCTTAGTTACTATTTATATACAGATTAGGGTTTTACTTTTGCTGGAAATACTAATTTAATATTCTATAAAATCAAGATATGCCCACTATCAATATTCTGTGACTTCTTTACTGCTACATTAGATAAGTTTTTATAGTAATCCCAGACATCCAAATTTAAAAATTAATGGGTGTATTTGTTGTAAGATTATATTTTGCTTAAAATTTGTTTTCATTTAGCCAAGAGAGAATCATATTTCTTCTTAAATCATATATCACTGAGGTTGCTGATGTCATAGTATCATATAATCCTAAGGACCTCTAGGAGATTTTCTACTTCAGCTCCTGCTCAAAGCAAGGTCAACTACAGCAAGTTGCTCAGGACATTGTCCACTTGGGTTTTGGATATCTCCAATGATGGAGATATGTTTAAACACAGTATCCTGTGCTTCAATTTGTGCCTATTGCTTCTTGTCCTGTCACTGGGCATGACTGAGAAGAGTCTGGTTCCATCTTCTTGACTCCCTGCTCCCCTTTCAAATCAGGTATTTTTACACTTTGATAAGATCCCCCTTGAGCCTTCCCTTCTCCAGTCTGCATAGTCCTATCTCTCTCAGCCTCTCCTGATATGACAGATGCTCCAAGCCCTTAATCTCCTTTGTGGCCCATTGCTGGACTCAATCCAGTATGTCCATGTCTCTGTCATACTGGGCAGCCCAGAACTGGACCCAGTGCTCCAGATGTGGTCTCACCAGAGCTGAGGTAGATCACCTCTCTGTCTGCTGGTGTGCTAAGGTAGCCCAGGATGCTGTTGGGCTTCTTTGCTGCAAGGGCACATTGCTGGCTCATACTGAACTTCTTGTCTCCCAGGACCCCCAGGTCTTTTATCTGCAAAGCTGCTTTCTAGTCAGTAGGCCCCCAGCCAACTGTTGCTTGAGATTAATCTCCACTATAATAAATGTCAGAGGTTTCTGAAGAAGTTTTATAGCATCACCAGTGGATGGATCTGCAATTTTTGAGTCTCATTCTTGTTTCTGAGATATTATTTTTGATACAAGTTATTTGAATTTTTGAAGTGCTAGGTTTCATATCCCTTTTTCTGAAGGGGTATAAGATTCAAATGCATGTTACTGTGCATAAACCGTGCTATTGTGTTCTGAACATGTGTGCTCTCTTTCCATATCAGGCATATGTGAAGAAGTTCAGGTAGACCTCAGTGGAACATCATTAAGCTAAAATTTGTTACCTCACTTTTGCCAGCTATGTCATGGAGTTTTTGCAGCTCAGCTGATGCATATGCGCTTGTTACTGGCTAGTCACTCAACTGTGTGTGAGCTTGTTTACTTGTTAAGAAAAAGAAATGGGAATAGCAAATGGAATGCTCATTAAATTTGTGTTAATTAAACCCAAAGCAGATAGCATATTTCTACTGAGGTTTTACTTTTCAAAATTACTTTTCCCTCCTTATTATAAGTCCTGTACAGTTCAGCTCAAAAAGATACTGAGAGACAGTAAAATGATCTATTTTTTAATTATTGATATTACAACACTACCCCTGTGTTAGCTCACTTCTTATTTCAGCCAAGGTTTATGGTTTTCATAAAACATTTACTGGAACACTGACTTTGCAATTGTATCTTATATCCCCAGGCTACTTTTTCAGTAGGGTGTTTGATATTTAATACAGTATATAATCTTTTCCCTCAAAAGAATGAGGTAGAAAATTTTTTGACTAAAAGACTATCTTTATAGTTTTTCCTGGAACAACAATGGAAACATCTTTTTTCCTGAGAATTTGTGAAAGAATAGAACAGTCATGTTTTATCAGACTTTCTTCTTAAGGAAATATATGCACTGCAAAGATTGATGTTTCAAAGCAGTGTGGATATGTCCACACTGTAAACTAGTAGTCAGCAATCAGTCTTCTGAGCAGGCAGTTCAGCATGTACCTGCAGACAAATGTTCCTTCTGCAGCCCTCTTCTGTTGTGTTCTCAGTCCTGGGAAGCGATTCCGGCATTCTGTCACCCTTTCTATTGGATCACGCTTTCTGAGGCTCACGGGTAGAGTTGAGTAACTTACTGTTCATACACAGAACACACATAGCACAGCATTTCTGTGAATGGACAACCTCTTTTCCCTTGCCCATTTTTATTCTGTTGGCAGACTGTTGACAAATTGGCAGCAAAACCCAACAGGATTTGGGGGAATATTTGCCTATATTTGGTGTGCCCTTCAGAGCTAGCACATTCTTGCTATGAGTTTTTATCCCATTCAGATTGACACTTGGAGCAGTAATGTCCCCTCCACAGAAGTAAAAATGGAGATTCTTGAAATGCAGCTGTTACTTTACATCCTTCTATTTCCAGAATGCCAGTGTTGTCCCTTTCTTTCTGGTTATTGATGCTGTTACTGTGTTCGCTCTGTTTTCCAGAATTGTCTGTTTCTAAACTTTTTCGCTACACTCACAATATTGCAACTCGCTGCAGGGCCAGGACTCCACCTAACTGAGCTGAGGACTTCCCTTACTTGTGTAGGTTTTTATTGTGCTATGTCTGTGCTAGGTCTTGAACAAAACTATAATCTTCTACTCAAAAAGTAGTTCTTGCTAACTAAATGACAGGTTAAGGTTTCTACTGACATACATAGAAAATGTGGTGATATTTCCTTTAGTGTGAACACCTGCCCATGGGGAACGAACTGACATAACAAATGCACATCTGATGGCTAAACTTTGAGGAAATGTGAAAATTTATTGAAACATCCTTTGATGTTTAATTTGAGTGCTAAACATACTTATCAGTGTCGTTTACAAACTAATAATACCTGAATCATAATGAGAGTTTGCATTGCTTTTCCAATCTATTCTTCTATTCCCAATCAGTTCAGAACTTTCTGAAGTCTTCATGTGACTTCTCTGGAAAACCTGGAGGCGTAAAACAAGCTGGAAGACTGAAAAATGGGGAAGG